TGACTACCGTGCTCTGAATAAGGCTACCATTCCAGACCGATATCCTATTCCAGTGATCGAAGAGTTGTTAGATGAGATTCACGGGGCCACGATATTCTCCAAATTGGACTTAAGATCAGGATACCATCAGATTCGGATGAAGGGTTGTGATGTGGAGAAAACAGCCTTCAAGACTCATCAAGGACATTATGAGTTCTTAGTTATGCCTTTTGGCTTAACTAATGCTCCTTCAACTTTCCAAAGTGTGATGAATGATCTCTTTAGGCCTCACCTCCGCAAGTTTGTCTTGGTATTTTTTGATGACATATTGATCTACAGTACTAACAGGAAAAGCCACTTGGAGCATTTGGAAATCGTCTTAAACTTGATGCAACATCACCAGTTCTATGCGAATGCTAAAAAGTGTTCTTTTGGGGAGACTGAAATTTCTTATTTGGGCCACAAGATTTCCAGTGATGGAGTTGCAGCAGATCCAGAAAAAATAGCAGCCATGATAAAGTGGCCTGAGCCCAGATCTGTGACGGAACTGCGGGGTTTCTTGGGTTTGACAGGCTACTACCGACGGTTTGTAAAGAATTACGGGCAAACAGCAAGACCTCTTACTGATTTGCTGAAGAAGAACTCTTTTAAGTGGAGCAGTGAAGCGAGTGAAGCTTTTCAGGCCTTGAAGAAAGCAGTCACAAGCCTTCCAGTTCTTGTACTTCCAGATTTCCACCATGAGTTCACCATAGAAACTGATGCTTCTGGAGTGGGTATAGGAGCAGTGTTATCACAGAACAAGAGGCCCATTGCCTTTATCAGTCAAGCTTTTTCATCTCAAGGGCGAATTAAATCTGTTTATGAGAGAGAGTTACTGGCTATAGTAAAAGCAGTGACAAAATGGAAGCACTACTTAACCGGGAAAGAGTTTGTCATCAAAACTGATCAGAGAAGTCTCAGGCATCTGCTTGAACAGAAGGCCATCTCAACCATACAACAAAGATGGGCTGCAAAGTTGCTTGGATTATCTTATCGAATTGAATACAAACCCGGGGTGGAGAACAGGGTAGCGGATGCTTTGTCGAGGAGACCGCAAGAGGAAGGATTCTGTCAGCTTGTGTTAACAGCTCCCTTGTCTTTGAGTTTGTCGGATCTGTTGGATGAAGTCAGAAAAGATACAGAATTAGGGCCATTATACAAGGGCTTAGAAGCAGGGCTGAAAGTTGAGTCTGAGTTCTACATTGAAAAGGGGATGATGTACCGAAAAGGGTGCTTAGTAATTCCAAAAGAGTCTCCCTTCATTCCAAAGTTACTTGAGCAGTTTCATACTAGTGTGATAGGTGGTCATGAAGGTGCTTTGAAAACATTCAAGCGGTTAACACATGAAGTTTACTGGAAAGGTATGAGAAAGGATGTGGTGAATTTCATTAAAGGGTGTCAAATTTGCCAAGAAAACAAGTATGCTACTTTGTCTCCGGCAGGTTTACTCTCTCCTCTACCTATCCCTAAACAGATTTGGACAGATATTAGTCTTGATTTTGTGGAAGGATTACCAAAATCCAGAGGCTATAACTCCATCTTGGTAGTGGTGGATAGGCTCAGTAAATACAACCACTTTATTCCTCTCAAGCACCCGTTTACAGCAAAGACGGTTGTAGAAGCTTTCATTCGGGAAGTGGTTAAGTTACACGGATTTCCGGAGAGCATTGTTTCAGACAGAGATCGCATCTTTTTGAGTAACTTCTGGTCACAACTGTTTAAACTGCAGGGTACTTCTCTGGCCAAGAGCACAGCTTATCACCCACAGACTGACGGCCAAACTGAGGTGGTAAACCGCTACTTGGAAACATATCTTCGGTGTTTCTCTAGTCGTAGACCCTCTACTTGGATTCAATGGTTGCCTTGGGCAGAGTACTGGTACAACTCCTCTTACCACAGCTCTATCAAGACTTCACCATTCTTTGCGGTCTATGGCAGGAACCCACCTCGCGTGCTCAGGTATGGTGACACTCCATCTCCTAATGCTAATGTTGATGAACTGCTGCGGGACAGAGACAGTATTCTGGTTGAATTGAGAGAGAATCTGGAAGTAGCGCAGGAGAAAATGCAACGGGCTGCAAATAAACACCGTCGTGATGTTGAGTATAAGGTGGGAGAATGGGTGTATTTGAAGCTTCGACCTTACAGGCAACAATCTGTGGTTTGCAGGAAGAATGAAAAGCTGTCTCAGCGCTATTTTGGTCCTTATCATATTACAGAAAAAGGGTAGCTTATAAGCTGCAGTTACCAAGTCACAGCAACATACATCCGGTTTTTCATGTCTCACAGCTGAAGATGGCAGTACCTCCCTCTTACACACCTCAGGAGTTACCAAGGATATTAACCCAAACCTTGGAATGGGCGACTGAACCAGAAAAGCTCCTGGATATCCGCAGAGGTGATAACGGTCAAGGAACTGAGGTGTTAGTTCAGTGGATGGGATTACCGGCTTTAGAATCAACGTGGGAGCCCCTAACTACTTTGGTTCAACAATATCCAGCCTTTGACCTTGAGGACAAGGTCAGTCTACTGCGAGGGAGTATTGATAGACTCAATGTGCCTCTAGCCTTTATGAAGAAGAAGATGAGGACCAATGGTCGTAAGGCAAGGAAGTGGGAGAAGTTCCTAATGAAGAAGAAGATTACAAAAAGTGGCTAAGTGTGGGAAAGCTTCAGTTGGAAGTAGAGTCTTTAGTATCTTATCTAAATAAAGAGTATGAACAATGTGATGTCGTTTTGGTGAGTTAGTAGAGTATGTATTTAAGTGGACTGCCCGATTAGGGTTCTCTTTATGCAATGAATAATCAATAATCTTTCTCTTATCTTATCTATCTCTCCGCCATTAACGGCGCATTTCACACTTACACAACAAAACTCGATTCGATAGGCTCGTGGGTCTATCAGAAGTCCGGGTCGGATCTGGAGCTCCCCGTAAGCATACGGGTTGATTTCGACCTGAGGTTTGTGTTTCAGTTCGACGGCGAGCCTGAGTGTAGCCTCAAGGTTGTTCAAGTCCAAGCAAACACAAAACAAGCTGTTTTTACTTGCAAGTTCGGATACAGAAAGTCCGGTGACCGGAATTTTAGTAGCAGGTATGTAAATTATTTAACTTTATACCTATCTTTCTTCTCATTAGAAACAGAGCTTTTGCTTTACTTAGGTTTGGAAACAAAGCTTTAACTATTTACTTAGGTTTAGAAGCCAAACATATAAGCTTGCAGTATTGCCTTGGATTTATGCACATATTAAGTATATATCCTATTGACTATTGTGATGATTCTATATGGGTTGGTGTTTGAATTTTGTAGTTTATCGTCATTGAAAAGTGAAAGGAACATTTTTTAAAATAGTTGTTGTTAGTTTGGTAGATATAAACTTGGATATATTTTATGCTCCGATAAGCTTATGTTAGTCTTTTGAGCATTTTTCACCTTTTGTTTAGCAGCACATCAGTCATTCGATGAGGTTGGGATGGTACCTATGTACGCTTGGTTTTTTGGATATGTTGTTTCTTTGACGTCGCGACGGTTCAAAAGAGTTGACTACTGATTCCGATAACCCCTTTGAGAGTATGGTAAACACTCGATCTTTGGTTTTGGATTAGTGAAGTTTAGGTTTTTGTATTGATTTGGGGTTAATTTGATTTATGGTGGTGATGGTTGTGTAGTTGGAGATTTTGAATATGAACGCTGGGGTTTTCTAGGATGATCCTTATTTGCAGCTGCTGAGAATAGGAACACATGAAGCTGCAATTGGATGCTTACCCGGTACTGGAATATTCCATCCCCTTTTATTATTGTCTCTCTTTTTTGTAACATCACTATATATCCTTGCTCTCTTTTGAGTATTGCTCTCTTTTTCATTAATGCGTGTATGTAGTTAAACAGAATAGACAACCTTTTTATATATCTTATCCTATTCTCTTGACTCATCATCCTCTTCTTTGAAAGGAAGATAGGTTTTGTTTTCAATTCCTGACAACCCAAGTTCTGACCTCTGTAAACATTTATATATATATATTTATATAAATATGTCAAGGAAGCTTATGAGGACTTCAAGCATGTTCTTCTTGCACTCATCTATGATAAAAATGACCAAACCTCTTCAGTAGCAATCAAGGTATTCCACCTTTCTGCAGTTTTATCTTCTTTTCTTAGGATATTATCTAATCTTGCGGGCACATGATGTCCTATGATTATTAAAAAACTGCTGCTTATACATCATGCAGAATTTGTATTTTGAATTAAAAGGAATGCGCTTTTTGTTGTACAGTGGGCAGAGAAAAGAAGGTATAAAATGGCTGGACTGATCTCATATGTTCTGAGAACTTCTTACAAGCATATGTTTCAGGCGGTGATTGTCGGTCCTCCTTCTGCTTTGAACAACCTCGGTCCTCACAACTGGTATTGTCAATTCACCTTTGTTTTCCTCTTGATAATATTGGGATTGGGATGTGGGAACTCTCTCTTGTGTGAAGAGCTGTATAAAGGTGGGATTGTGGGTATTACCTGCATTAATTTAGCTTCTCTTGCGGTAGCAAGATGCAGAATTGGTTGCTATCAAAAGCTTACAAAGGTATAGTGTATTGATTATATCCCATAGGCATAGGCATAAATGTAACCAAGTACTACTGTATTCTTTATGAAATTGACAGCTTCATAATTAGTCTCTGCTGCTTTGTTTTGCTCTTTGAAAGTCTAAAATCATTGGATCTTACTTTCGACGTGTTTATTACCTGAGCTAACACTTTGGTATATTTGGAAATAAAGTGGTGCAAGCTGGGATGCTAGATCTCCCAATTAACAGCGAGTCTTTTGACGTGGTTATTGGGAAAGGAACCATGGTAAAACCTGTTACTGAGCTCAAATTTTCTTCTTATTCATTGTTTATTTAGGACTATTGTGAATGTTTTTACATACTCTTGAATTTTTAACGTGAGAAAATCTCATGAATTGCTCTTTTTTCTTTGTAATTAATTTTGTTAAGACTTATTAATTTGTAAGATGTTTTTTTTGCTCTGTTGTGCTCTGTTTTGTTTAGCTATGTTCTCACTTCTATTTTTGACATCAAACGTATTATATTTGCAGGAACAAGAGAAGAATACCCTTAAAAGATGAGATCAAGAGTTATGTTCTCAGAAGCATAAAGCTGAAGCTAGACAGAGGAACATGAGCTCGAGTAGAAGAAGCCATTTGCTCAAACAAGGTATTTTATTGATTCTTCTTCTTCAGCTTGGGGTTGAGCTATTATGTACTTGGTTGTTTATTTAAACGGTTTTTTTACTTTCATTTCAGGGCTGACCTTGAGCTTGATCAAATGATGAAAGAAAGAGTAAGATGGGGAGATCCAATGGCTCATTTGGTCAAAGGTATTGCACAAACTTCGGCTTACTACAAACCTATGATAGTAAATAACCAAAGATTGTCTTGTCATAAACGTAAGATCCTAATGCATTACTAATTTTGTATATCGTAGAAAAAGCGGCACGAGACAACTCTTGTGGATCTTCGAGACGACGAGAAGATGAAAAAATCTGGGTTCATTATACCACAAACTGTGCCTAAACATAGTTGGTTGACGAGAGGACTAGAAGCTGGGACAAACCGGTATTGAATTAAACCGGGTAGACACTGGTTCAAGCAATAACTATATGTTAAAACTGTCGCCGCTAAACTTGAAAAATAGAGAGAATCGATGGCTTTTTGTGACAGTTTATTTTGTGTTCATCATTTTTTGTAGCTTTGAGAATGAATCATCTTGGGTAACTTTCTCCGTCTGGTTCATACCCTTGCGGGAAATGGAGTAACATTTAAGGTTTTCAACACCAACGGTGGTAATTTCTGTGGCAATGGCTATAACTGTTAGATGATGCTCCAGCCTGTGAGTTTGGAGGATCAATATAAAGGTGTGAAGAAGAACCAGCGGTTATCTAAAAATGTCTACGATGCTTCTGGGTATGCTTTCTTCTTTATCTCCCTCTCTATCTCTCTATATACTACATAGAGACCAGAATCTAGAGCTAGAAGTTACTTTCCTTGAAGCATTGCAATTGTAAATGGCTAATTGGATAGTTTTGTGATTGTTTGGCTGAGAGAAGCTTATACTTTGAATATCTTCTTTTGGTCTCTGGAAATGATTGTTATGCATAATCAAATTGAAGTTGTTGGAAAGAAAAAAAATACTACTTTGAGCTTATGGTTTCTGTTTCATCAACATTTGTGTTTACTTTTTCTTCCATGGAACATAGCCAAGCTCCAACGCACTAGAGGAAGAGATTGGACAGTGAGCATGACGACAATACGTGACGGTGTGTATTTTACAAAAACCCGTGATCTGAGTAGCAGAATTGAGAAAGAAAGATTGTAACAAACCTCAATATGATGAGGTGGAAACCAATTAAGAAAAATACCATTTGTGTTTGATCATGTTTGATCTTTTCATCATTTCATGAATAAATATGTTCGGTCATATATATGAGTCTACTGAAATCTACTGAATTTTAGTTTAAATATGTTCGCAGTTTGTGGATGTGAGTCTGTGACAATCTTATGGTTATGTTCTTTGTTTTATTTACATAAAAATAAATTTTAACCTTTGATTCATGTTGTATTCATCCATCTGATCTCTGCAGCAACGTCCTCTGTGATTCAAAGGCCGGATAGAAGATCCAGATCACCGGTGTGTAAACTAAGTAACATATTATCAAGACCCCTTGGAAGAAGATATAGTGTTTAACTGACTTAATATACTTTTTTGATACCAGGTCCATCTGGGAAGGTAATGCTATTACCTGAGAAGGATCCAAAGGCGACACACATAATGATAGCCACGGGAACAAGAGTGGCTCTTTACAGAGGCTACCTACGTCGAATGTTCATGGAAAATGTCCCTAGCAAGACACTTGGCGGCTTAGCTTGGCTCTTCTTTAGGCGTGGCCAACACCGATAGCCTTCTATATGATGATGAGTTTATTAAGTACTTAAAGGACCATCACCGATAGAACTTTAGGTATGATAAGGCGTTGAGTAGATAGGAGAAGAACAAGAAAGGTGGAAAGATGTATGTGCAGGAAAGATTGAGGAGTGCAATGATGAGATCTTCAAGCCATTGGACAATGGAGCTCATGTTTACTTCTGTGGGATAATAGGAATGATGCCTGGGATTCAAGACACGCTAAAGAGAGTTGCAGAAGAGAGAGGTAAGAGCTGGGACTTGAAACTTTCTCAGCTAAGGAAGAACAAGAAGTGGCACATTGAAGTCTATTAAGCGTACACTTTTTTTTTTTTGGTGTGACTTAAGCGTACACTTTACCTTTCTTCCTTTCTTTTATAACATGTGTTTGCTGTTTTTTATTTGATTTAAGAATCGTCATAGAATTGAATTGATGTTTATGCATTCTGTCAGGTTCGTCAGGTTAACCGGATCCGGTTCTTGCTGGAGAGCCTCAAGGATCTCTATTCTAGCCTGAAGAAACTCGGTTTGCGGTTGCTGTTCTTCACGGTGAGCCTGATGATGTACTAGTTCGTTACTTGCAAGAGGTAATGCAGAAAACCTGATGCTTAAATTTGTGAAATTGGCTTTACTTTAGGCAATAGAGAAATCTGAAATGTGTATATATCTGTGCATGGGTTTTTTGACAGTGGAAGGTGAAGAGGCTCTGCTTTGAATATGATACAGATCCGTATTATCAAGCGTTAGAAGTTAGAGTTAAAGTACAATTCGATTCATTAAGTCTTAAAGTTTTGATCGTGCTTACAACCAATCAAATGATTTTAGTTAACTCAAGTGATTTTGTTTCTTTAGGATTATGCTTCTTCAACTGGAGTTGAGGTTTACTCTACAGAGAGCCATACTCTCTTCAATGTTCCGATTAGCTTCTGTTAGTCTTCTGAGCATTTCTCACCATTTGTTTGCCAGTAGACCAGTCATTCGATGAGGTTGGGATGTTACCTATGTACGCTTGGTTTTTGGTATGTTGTTTCGATTGAATTCCTTTGGTTTTCTGGTATTAATCCCTTGGCTCTGTTATTTAATTATGAGTTTGCTCTTAGGTTTGCCCTTCTCTTGGTGAAAACAATTTTACTATCATTTGAAGGCATTAATAATTGGAGGAAGGAGTCACGGCTGTGAGATGACTATTAATAACGGTAAATAATATAGTTCAGATGTGGCTATTTGTGTAGGTGGTTTGGCTTGAGCCATTATTTCTTTAAAATACTCTTTGTTCTGAGTGCTTTATACTTTGTGGCAGGTCAAGGATGTTCGCTTTGGACCGTTCGGAAAACGGAAGATGCCATACTCTTTTCCAAGGGTCATGATAGTACCTAGAGACCATGTGGGTCTAAACAAATTGGTGCCATTCTAAATACATGCTTACTGGTACGTCTGTTGGATATCATGATTATATATTGAATTTGTGGTGAATCGTCTCCATATAAATAAATTTTATTTCGTGTTCATCATTTTTGTGTCTTAGACAATGGATCATCTTTGGTACTTTTTCTGTTTGGTTCATACGCTTGTGTTTTGGTAGATATGGTATGCGTCACACTACAAAAGAACAAGAACAATGGAAGGTCATTGTCTATGAGTTGGCGCCCTGGCATAGGGTTCATCGGTTCTGTCATCTGGTAGCAGAGACAAGAGTATTCTTCTGAGGGAAATCAAGTCAAGAGACAAGCTGAGATAACAGATTTGTAAAATAAAAACCTATGTTTGAGTCAAATTAACGTTAGGGGTCATGTGTCTTAAATGCTTAGGTAACTCCATACTGTGTGGACCATATGCTTAAAAAACATGTAGAGTTAGTGGTGAAGCCGTAAGGGTGTGTACATTGAGACAATTGGTCGTAGCACTTTTAATAAAAGTATTAGTAAATTCATCATTCTCCGTGGGTGCGGGTCATCTCCTTTTTTTTTTGTCATCTGAGTTAATATTGATAAGGTTTGGGGTTACAAAAAGACTTGAGGAAAGTCGTCCACTGTACACGATAACTAGATAAAACCTTAGAGAGACGTATCGGATTATCCGAGGTCTAAACCAAAAAACCAATCGCTCCCCTGAGCCCAAAAACAAAAGAACAGACACTCATACAGAGGAAAGAACCCTCTCACCACCAAAAACACCAGATAACCAAAAAAGAAAGCTTCTAGCCACATAAGAGTGCAGTCTAGAGTCCTGAGTTACTGACTTTGCAATGAGAGAAGCTCCTCTGTTTGCTGTCCCTGATTCACCAACAAGCTTCCATTCTTTAAAATCTTTCAACACAGATAGAATTTGTGCAGAGTTAAATCTAAAAGCTGGCCACGCTCTTGGTCTTTCCACCGCTCCCACAAGAGCCACATCCTCTATCGCAAATAGCATTCTGGTCAATTTATGACTTAACATGCTTTCCATAGCCCAAACCATAGTTATCACAGTAGCCTCTTGTTTTGTTAAAATGGTTGAAAAAGCCCTCCTGCTGTGCAAAAGTACCACTCCCAACTCATCTCTCACTACCCACGCACCTCCAGCTAAATGTTTCCTCTTCGACCACGAGGTAGCAATGTTACATTTAAGCCACCCACTAGGTGGAGGATTCCAGACTGGGGACTGGTCCTCTGAAGCAATCACTGGTCTATGATCGAAGGTCTGAAGTTCATCACCATTTGTTGCCGCAGGTCGTTCTTGAGCAGTGAACCAAACCGCTACATCTTGGCTTATCTTGGCAGCCGTTTCCATAGGAGTAAAACTTTTACCATTAAAGACCATATTATTAAATCTAGGTTATTAGTTTTAAATGATCCATATCTATACAACACATTATCCCACTAGAATTGCGCTTATATAATCAATCATAACAAAATAGGTTAAAAACATGAACATATAATATGAGAGCTACGACGGTATGTAAATTTACACAAATACTTTTCAATCATCCATGTCCTCAACTTTCTATAATGCAAAACATATTTGCTGGTGATGGATACGAAGATTAGACTTTGTCATTGTTTTTGGAGTTTTTCACCTTTTCAAAGCTCTGTTGGTTTTGAAATAAAATTTTCTCTACCATTAATATAATGTTTCAACATTTTTTTGGATTTTAAATATATTTATTTAAATTACATCATTTTGTAATAATTTAAACCATTTATTACAAATACATATAACTTGCCCCGCGAACGCGCAGGGCGCGGACACCTCCACTAGGTATCCCCTAGGTCTTCTAAAATGTGTAATCAATTACAAGCAAATATACAATGAAATTATGCAATATGAACTGATATTCAATATACAAGATGAGAAATAAGTATAATATATGACAATGCTATAATTTCTAAAATATACACAAAACTAACTTCATGACTATGTTTTAGTGGTATACATTTGGATTGTTGTCCGAGGTTGAGGTGTATTGACAATTTCACGACTCGTGTGCCCACATATGAAAATAGAAAAATATCATATGTGTTATTAAATTCGCAAAGTTGGAAATCTTCAAAGGTAAATATATATATGTTCTTCCACAATTTAGTATAGTACTTATGATATAGTATATGAAATATTCTTATACCAGCAATTTAAATTTAATAAAAATATATAGGTAATATAAGAGCTACGCCGGCTTGTGCATGTACACAAATACTTTTCAATCATCCATGTCGTGAGGTTTCAATTATACAAAACTTCTTTGTTTGTGATGGCGATGAAGTTAGGCTTCCTTATTGGTTTTATTTTTCAAATTTGACAGGTTTATACTATCTCATATTATGGATTCAACATTATTTTATGATTTTCTTAACTAAGTTAATCTTCAAAATTAATTTAGACAATTCTACATAACTTGCCCCGCGCAGGGCGCGTGCACATCACCTAGTTCCTCTTAATTTAAGTTATATCACTAGGTTTAATTATAATTTTTTCATCCTTGTAGTATAATAGATAGAAAATTGAATATCAAACTCTTTTTAGATAGAAAATCATGTATAATATTCAAAGTTAGTAAAAACTATAATGATCTTTATATTATTAAATGTTGAATCTGTTGGTATAAGCTTGAAAAAGAAGACTTGAGGCCCAAGCAAAGCCCGTCTAAACCGAGTCATAGAGTTATCGTTTAGGGTTTTTGTGAAAGCTCTATATGAGGAGATGCTAATGTGTGTGGCATAACTTGAGAGAGTTTAAGAGATTTAGAAGCTTAGGGTTTTTGAGTTCTTTTTCCTTGAGCAAATAAAGAGAGTTCTTTGAATAACTTTGTGTTCTTGTTCTTTTGCAATTCTATATTTGGTATCAGAGCAAAAGATCATCTTCGTTTTTGGTTCCCTAAGAAGACGAGGAAGATCCTTTGACTTAACCGCGAGAAGAAGCTGCAAAGAAACAACACTAAGCAAGAGTAGTTGTTTGGTGTAATCCTAACATGGGTGATATAGTTCCAGCGAGTAGACCTAAGGAGAATGTCTCTATTCAATGTCCGATGTTGACTAACTCAA